TCCGGCGACCCTCGACTCTTTCCGGTGTAGGGGCTCGTTGGTTGTCCAGATCTGGCCACCACCGGTCTGGATCCCTGCCGCGGTGTTCTGAAGATTTCACGCCATCCTCTCCCGAGTAGATTGAAGGGTGTCCCATAGCTGGATCGACCGACTACAGGTTGCGCGAGTGTCTTCACCGCCCTTTCTCCACTGCAACGGGTCTACTCTGCCTTGTTTCTCCAATGTGTTCTTTCTTTGTTTGATACTCTTATCCCTTTGGATAAGACCTTGATGTAGATGCCGTATAGCAATTCTTAATGCAGTGCTTCCTTTGCGTTCAAAAAAAAAAAAAACAAAGGCATCTTTGGCCGTTAAGTGCAATAGTTTATTTTTTAGTGAATTGTGTTTTCGGGCACAAAAAGCCTACATAGTTTATGTACTTGACTAATTAAAAAAAGTAGCTTATCGTGTACTTTCCCATGATCAATCAACTAAAATTAGGGGTACATAGATTATTATTACATTCTAAAGTGTTTTTTTTTTTTTTTGGGCATTGCATCTTAAAGTGCTGGGTATTATTTGTTAGTAATTTGTTGGATTGAATTATGGTTATAAGTTTGTGCTTATTATGTGACATTAAATGAGTGTAATATGTTATTAAATGAATAGTTACATATAATACCATGATTGACTCTAAGTGAAAGAAATTAATTATATAATGATATATCATATTGTCAATGTTACAACTATATTATTTTTAAAAATTAATTAAATTTGATTAATAATAATCAAATTGCATTTTAGATAAAGTTTTGTATGAAACAGTTCTATAAAAAGTATCATTAAACAAAACTTTAATGTTATACAAAATTATTACATTTTCAACCATATTTAGGCTTAGTTTGGCAGTGTTGTGCTATATTCATAGATTTTTCTATCTTTGACTATCCTAAAAATATTTAAAATATTAATTAAAATTAGTGAAAGGGTTTTTTTTTTTTTCTAATTTGTGCCCTTATATGTTCTAAGGACTCATGTTAAGCATCTTGAAGAATAAATATTGATATATAATTTATCAATTATTTAATTAAATTTATTCATGTGGCAATGATTATGAAATTAATATCAAATTTTATATTTTTATATAAAAATTTATGGTAAAAAATTACCCTTAACCTTTGTTCCTATGACACAAGTTAGAAAAACTTCTTAGTAAAAATATAAAAAAATT